GGGGCAGGGGCAGAGTGTATTTGATTTGTTTCTTTGGCCTGATTCAGCTCATCTCACACTGGCTGAGAGTCAAGCTTTCAAATGTAGTCTGAAGACGCACGGATCCATTCAGACAACCTTGAGACACATTTTAAACAGGAATCTTCTGTACTCTACATTTCTTTTAGCTGCAGGATTGCGTGTTTATTCATGATTATGACAGAACAGTTATCAAAATGACATTCGATTTGTGTTGTGATCATTTCGGTCACAATAACATTTTCAGATCAACTCAGTTGGCCGATCTGGTATCATATACTATTTTAATAAATAACAATTCAGTACATTTATATGCATCTATTTCTTTGCTAACTTATTTGAAAATGTGGAATGCTGCATATTTTATAGCCTAATCCATCCTTATTAGATAAACAGTCAAAATCAACATAAGGAACATATATCACGAGTTGAGGTTTAAGTGAAACAACAATAATTCAACGACAAGCTCATCAAACAAATGGCTGATGTTATTGGTTTAACTGTTTCTGACTGGATCAAGCCCACAGAGGCTGTTGAGATCCCTAATCCCCCCCCCCTCTGTTATCACCTCCATGACAGAAGAGCTACAGAGGTCACTCCATTACTACCTCAGTGACCTGTGACCTCTCCTGTGACGTCTAATGATCTTATAATGACGTCTCAAAACCCTGCAGAGAGAAAACACCAGAGATCCTGTTCACTGCTGGAGCCATGTTTTCTCTCTCTCTCTCTCTCTCTCTCTCTCTCTCTCTCTCTCTCTATTCCTTAAAACAACAATGGCGGCTCCTAAAAAGTTTACTGTAGATGCTGAAATCAATCAATCCAATATTATGATATATTCTTATATATGATATATAGCAGAGTCAGTATGTCCAGCACTGGCACAACATTACTGCAGACTGTAACCTGCTGTCACAGTGTGTTGCAGATTTTTACTCTAAATATGTTATTCAATAATGTGTGTGTGTGTGTGTGTGTATATATAAATGCTTAATTATGTCCAATGCTTAAGTTTAATTTGAAGTATTGATGTTGCTCTGGACACACTCGAGCTCTCATTTTAGGGTGGATCAACCTGCAACATGAGTGTAATCTGGAGGAAAGATTACGAGTGTTTCCTGTGTAGCTCCCGCCCTCTTTCCATTGTACCCCAGTCAGTCAACAGTGGTTCCCAGTGGAGGAGAGTGCCAGTAGATCCCCAGCTAAGGACTGGAGACATGGAGACATGTCATTGTTCTGCTTTAGAAAGGCTCTTGAAGCTTTATGGTGCCTGGGGAGATATTTGGCTCATTATGTCATTAATGAATTCATTCATTTCAGAGAAAAAGAGAAAGTAGACTTTAGATTGATGCAGTCTGGCGGGCCCCTTTCAGAGGAGGTGTATCAGCCCCTATGAGGTATAAAACACACAGACACCAAACAGCAGCTGCCAGCACCTAGTTTGGAGTTGAGGCTCCACTTGGTGTCTATTTGTAGAATTATGGAGTCATGTAGAAGTGTTATATTGAAGGACTCAGAGGCATGTTTCAGCTGGTAACACACACACATGCGCAGGTCTAGAATGTTGTGTTTTTGTCCTTTTTATAGACTTGTATATCAACTGTTCATCCCGTAGTGTTTGCAGGGTTAACACAGCGTCTAGCATGTTTGTCTCACTGAAGCGCATATCTGGATCTGGAACCAACGTTGTTTTGATGGTTTGGGATGTGGTCATTAATTTGAGATGCCAGTTGAGTTTAAAACCACGTAAAGAGCGACCATTCACCCAGAGGAGACCCAGATTAGTCGGTTTGAAGGAATGCCTACAGACCAATGTGGGCGAACATATTTTATAATTGTAGCTCGAGAGAGCTTCAGATAGTTGACTCACTTGGAAAAGGCACGGACCATTTTTTCCATTGTGTGAAAAATAAGCAGTCCGTAAACAATCACCAGCCATTGCTCACCAGTACTTCTGCATTAAATCATTTCAGATCGCAGTCCAAAACAGTGTAGCGTTGATCTGTTACACTCTAAATATTTAATCCAACAAACTACATTGCATCACATCAGGAGGGTGTCACCGATCAGACAACATCTGGCTCCCTGTATGTTGTGTGCTGCCGCTCCATCTCCAGCTTTAGTGTGTTTACACGACGACTAAAATAAACAGCGATCTGTTCTGTTTCTGTCGTACTGATATCGAACCACTGTAGCGTCTCCGCTTTCTTGTGCTGCATTCCTACTTTGCGCAATACTTGGAGTTGGAGCCACGTTGTTATATCTCCCAAAAAGTGTTCCAGCTGTTACACACAAACTCACACAGATTGATGACATATTAGCCATAGACTAGATAGATAAAAATATAGCTACGGCTTGAGTGTGTGTGTGTGTGTGTGTGTGTGTGTGTGTGTGTGTGTGTGTGTG